TTTTGGTCGTTCTTCATAGAATTTAGCCTTCAGTCCCCTTATCATCTTTGTTGCTCTTGTCTGCACCCCTTCCAGGGCCTCAGCTTCTTTTTTGTATCGCGGTGACGAGAACTGGATCTGTTGTGTTAACATGAATTGTCACAGGTGTAAGTTTTCCCCCCACAGAGATCCAGAGTAAGGAAGAGCTGATGGGACTGCATACTTTTATTTTCTGTCTCATTTTATATGAAGGTCACAATTCATTGTACTATTTATATGCACAGAGCTGACCTGATAACATCTCAGATGTGTTTTATGGTGGTTTGGCCTAGATTAAATCATATTTTCTCCTGTCTTCTCCAGAGTACTAGGTAGTGGGGTAGCTGAGGCTGCACTTGCAGTATTGAAACCCTGGGACTTTCTGAAAAAGGAAATGATGTCACCTGCATCTCCCCTCAGGCTTCCCTATTGCATTTGAGCATAACATCAGTCCTCTGAGTAGTTGGCACAGAAAGGATTATCCTAGAAACTATAATTTGTTGCAGTCAGTCTGTGTTGTAATGAGAAGTATTTGAGGATTGCTAGGTCCTGAATCAGAAATTAAGAACCATTACTTTTACAGAAGACCTGTTCCTCATTTGTTGATACAAACTCTTTCAGCTGCCTGCATTTTTGACTCTTTTGAGGGTGGGGGCACAAGGGAACTATCATGATGAGCACCTGCAATTCCAGATTTACCAAATTACTGGTGTGGTAAGTATTCTTTTGGGTATTGCAGTTCAGGGACACGGTGCAGTGATCTTTGGCAGAGTATTCAAAGTACCTCACCAAACTGCAAATCCTGAATTCCATAGGATAAAGCCGTGATAGTTAAAATAACATTATTCTGCTATAGCAATATTGTATCAATACACTCTTCATTCAATCTTTATGTAGACTAATGTATTTGCAAAGGCTTTCATGGCCGGGATCTAATGGTTGTTGTGGATTTTTCAGACCGAAGAGCCCAAAAAACCCACAACAACCTTCATGTAGACTAGTTTGTTTTACTTACCACCCAAGTGATCTGCATAGATTCTGTGTAGAAGGAGAAATGATTACATCTGAATTTGTTTGTTGTTGTTCTTTTACAGCCTTCAAGTTCTGTGGAGACATTTTTTGATTCCCTTGTGAACCAAGCAAGGATCCCGAACATTTTTTCCTTGCAGATGTGTGGAGCTGGTTTGCCTGTATCTGGAACTGGTACCAATGGAGGTAGTCTTGTGGGTATCTGTCTACTAGACAAAATATAAATGTCTTTTTCTAATTATATGTTTTTAGCACATCTGTAACGCAATGAATTTAATTCTGCTTAGTTTAAAATAAAACTTTTTTAAAATTACTATATGCATTAGAAGACCAAAACAACACGGCTTTCGCAGCTTTAGTGAAGTTTCCATACAGATAATTCAATCAGAAAAATGTATAAATTTCTCATACTTGTGCACATTAAGGTTCTTTTAGTGATTATTCCAATAGAGAATAAAATCTGCTCTGTTGAAGATAAGGATTCAAAGATCTTTTTTCTTTTAATAAGTCTCATGCAGTATGAAAAGTCAAAATATCCAAAACTTTGAATAGTCAGTATTTAATATCAGGAACTGAATTACCAGTCTTCCAATATTTTGCTTTTAAGAAACTTGCAAATTGAACACCATGTGCTCCTTCAATCCTAAAATATATCAATTTCAATAAAGCTTCCCTGTACATGGACATAGATTGAGGTATAATTGAAATGCATATATTCTATGTATCTGGATCATGGGCACCGGGGACAGGAGACGAGAGGCCAGTGGGTCCAGCTTTCTAAGCCCTGAAAGCCCAAAGCAGGCAGTGGGCGCAGAGCAGCATTCGGCTTTTCCCACCTGCTGTCAGCTTTGGGCTTTTGGGGCTTAGACCTGCAGCCTACGGACTGGAAGTGGGAGGCGGGGAAAGTGCCAAATTTGAATTTGGCGCTTTCCCCACCTCACCCTTCTGGTCCGTAGGTCGATTCTCTGGCCGCAAGTCGAAGTGAAACTTTGCGGCCGGAGAAGTCTGAAAGTCGAAAAGTTTGTAAGTGGAGCTGAATGTAAGTCGAGACTCCACTGTATTATTTAGATGCATCCTTTTATGGCTTGTCCTTCTGTTGATGGAAATTTAACTGTTTCATAGTGAACACATTAAACTGAGCAACTCACACACATTATTTCCAGGCTGGAGCAGGGGGAGTCACAAAATGGCTACGCCCTGGAATGTTCTCTTTTCTTCCCCTTCTACCACCAGAACACCCATGATGGAAGAGCAATAGGCACAGCCTTTTGCTGCAGCCACTGAGAGAGTCTAACCCAAAAACAAATCTACTGTGTCCACAGAAACAGAGATTCTCAAAAGACTATGAAAAGCCATAAGTTTGGACACTTAAATTTGTTCAGACTCATTCAGTGTGTCCAACGCTGTGCACATTATTCCAGACTGCAGTACCTTCACTGAAATTTTTGTTCCTAGCTCTGCATTCCTTTCTTAAATAAATCATAGAATAATTGAGTTGGAAGGTCCCTATAAGGCCCTATAATCTAACCCCCTCCTCAATGCATGAATACAAATAAGGCCATTGACTCTAACCCCCTCCTCAATGCATGAATACAATTAAAGCAGATCTGACAGATGGTTATCTAAATTTCTCTTGAATGGTTCTAGTGTTGGATCACTCATCATCTCCTGAGGTCATTGATTCCATTGTCTTATACTCTAACAGTTAAGAAGTTTTCCTGATATAGTGCTGGATCACTCACTATCTCCCGAGGTCATTGATTCCATTGTCTTATGCTCTAACAGTTAAGAAGTTTTCCTGATATTCAGCCGAAATCTGGCTTCCTATACCTTGAACCCATTATTATGTGTCCTGTGCTCTGGGATGATTGAGAACAGATCCTGCCCCTCTCTGTATGACTACCTTTCAAGTATTTGAAAACTGCTGTATCTCCCCTCAGTCTTTTGAATACTGGATACTAAAGTAGAAATTCAAGTAGAAAATGCTTCTGTTTGCAAGCCTATCCGTACCTGTTAAACTGTGTTTGTTTTAAAAATTGCTTTAACTGATTTATGCATTAGTGCTGTTGCCTTATATAAAACATGGAATTAGGATGCATTTAAATGCAATATAAATGCCCAGCACCATCTGGCAATATAAATGCCCAGCACCATCTGGCAAGGTGAATGCATGTTGTATAATGTAACTGCCATGCTTTGATTATGCAGTATAGCAAAATAAAGATCATTATCACCTATGTTTCTTTTCAGGTTCTGGGTGGAATTGAACCAAGCCTATATAAGGGAGAAATCTGGTACACACCTATTATGAAGGAATGGTATTATCAGGTTGAAGTACTCAAGTTGGAAGTTGGAGGCCAGGTTCTGAATCTGGACTGTAAAGAGGTATTTTAAACAAGAAAGCATTGTGTGATATTTTTAGTGTGATGTTTGGGTTAATGCAAGCGAAAATGCCAAAAAACCTCTGGAAAATGCTAATTGGTAAATCGGCTATGAATAGAACTATTGTACAATCTAAAATACTGTATAGTGTAAACTGCTATGGAAACCATTGGAATTTACTTTATACACGAGTTTACAATAAAGGGTGCAAATGTTACTTTAGATACCTGGACTTACTGATATCCGTTGATTCATATTCAGTGTGTCCCTCCAGTAGCACTCAGTCTGTAGCTCCTGTGTATTGGTTGTCTATCTGAATGTCTTGCAAGCATTTAGAATATATTCTGCATTACGTCTGCACCCTTTCGTAAAACAAATACTGATTTGGCAGTTTACCATTTCTGAGCAGGTTTAGCCAGTAGTTAGCAAGGAAGTGATGAACAGTCACACATTTTCTTGTCCTTGAAGACAAAGCTTATCTCAGCATATTGAGGTACTTAAAAAAAACCTAAAACAACAAAGAAAGAAAGGTTGACTTCTGTGAGATTTTCATTCCTGCATGAGAGGCAAAAGGACAAGCAGTTTTTAGTCAGCAGCAGCATTTAGGAAAAATCTTTTTTTTACACACACCCAAAATATATAGTTTGCACTAAAAGCCTTGTGTGTTCCATTACAAATCTTTTAATGTGTACAAAAGGTTGTACAAGGTGTACAAGGTTGACTCAGCCTTCCATCCTTCTCACAAAAAAGGGGGTTGATCTTAAAAAAATGCACAAGCGCTCATAATCTCATCTGGTAGGGAGAAAACTTTGGAAAACATTGCCTGTGAGAACAAAATGAGCAAAGAATTACGTCTGGTTGTGGGCAGAACTAAGTAGGGGTTTGCAAGCCCAGGAACAAATACTGCAGTCAATAGCTGAAGAAGCAATGCAACATTAATAGTACAAGGCACATTGTAATTTTTACATATAAGTACAGTGGGGTCTTGACTTGAGAACTTAATCCGTATTGGAAGGCAGTTCTCAAGTCAAAAAGTCTGTAGGTCAAGTCTCCATTGACCTACAGTGCATTGAAAACCGATTAATCCCATAACAGGCCGTTTTTGTTCCATTTTGGTTTTTTTCTGGTCTGTAAGTCAATTCTCAGGCTGCAAGTCAAACCTAAATTTTGCGGCCAGAGAAGTCTGTAACTCAAAAAGTCTGTAAGTCAAGCCGTCTGTAAGTCAAGGGTCCACTGTACTTTGTCAGTCTATCAGGATGTTGAGAGGTTCCTGGTTTTGCACTTTTTCAAGCTTCTTCCTATCTTATAGCACCAACCCTTATTCAAGGTGAGATGGAAATATTATTCACTGGGAACATGTCTTCCTAGAGCAAAGTTGGTAGAGGGTATTGTATTTTTCCTGAAATTGAGGTTCACGGATGGGAGCGTACTGTTGCATCTAGTGCTGCTTCTGGATCTCCGGAGGGCATCAGCCAGGGTTCCTTTTTACAGACTTAGGGCAGTTTGCTTAACTATACAGTAGGACTCCCTTTTCCATGGGATCAGTATCCACTTATCCACAGTCTGAAGATATTAAAATAAAAAAATCCAGAAAAAACTATTTTTGCATGTATTACCAGAATCAACTACTAGAGGGAGCTAGAGACCATGCTATGTATTCATAGCCCTCTACTGGCCCATTCTAATAATGCATGTGAAAATATTTTTTCCTGTTTTTTTCTCTTTTACCAAGCTCTCTCTCTCTCTCTCTCTCTCTCTGTCTCTCTCTCTCTCTGTGTGTGTGCGTGTGTGTGAGAGAGAGAGAGGGAGGGAGAGAGAGATTGTACATCTTTCCTGGGTATGTTTCAAACTGACTACAGTGTTATCCCTGTCTGTGAGAACAACTCATGAATATTCCCAGTCTGTACAGTGGGGACAGGGTTGTGCTACCTAGCCCTATTGCTGTGCTTTCCTACTTACCCTTACTTGGACGTGGGTGTTTGTTCACACAATGGCTGTATTCCTATTGCTTAGTGTCATAAGTTGTAACTAGTGTTAGATCCATTGAATCAGTGAGGATTTGGTGATTCCGCTCCTCTGCAAGTTCCATTGATTCAGTGGGCCTGAGTTGCAAGCTTTCATGGGTAAAAACCCACTTGCTCTGGCTGTGCACCACCCCTTTGTGGATAGTGCAGAAAAAACTGTAGGTCACAGTCCCAAAAATTCATGGTAGATGTCTGTGTAGAGTCTGCTTGTAGGTGGTCAATTCAGACCTAGGTACTAAAGTCAATGGGGAGGTATGGTTTCAACCATTCTTCCTTGTAAGCATGGTTAGAATTTTCCATCTCAAACTCCAAACGAAGGATTTGCTAATTATTCTATGAGTGCCCCCCCATCCCATTGCTTGCTCCTGAAATGTAAAGTTTCTTCTGGGCTGGGGAGAGAAAAATGATATATAAAGGTTTCCTCCTTGAAGACATTTGCATCGTACATGCAGACACCAGGATGTAGGAGTGGTCGGTGCAGCTCTTCTTGTGCACTCATTGAATGCATGAGCTTCATGTTTGAAGGGGGCTGGTAATTCATACCTTGCCTGCATCCATCTTAGACCATTGCAGGGAGTTCTAGATGAAGCTCCTTTTGTAGCTGCTGAACCTAGAATATAACGGTTCAGATAAGTAACTGGCATATCACACAGAGCAAATGCTAGTGTGAATTTCTCCAAGCTCTCCTGCGCCATGCCTTTCCCTCAACAATCCAGAATCATAAGCCAATAATAACTTAGTGGGGAAAAACAAACCACACTGCAGGGTTCTGAAATCACGGTAAACAAGCCATGAAGGGATGATCAGGCATAGTCAACCTCATATCAATTAAGCCAAAATTCAAAGAACATGTGCCATTAAAAATGCCCAATGAGTACTAGAGAAGCAGGTAGCAATGGCATCAAGGCTATAAAATTTCTATTGGGACACCTGTGCTGCTTGGAGAATGCTGACTAGAGATAGAAATCTCTAGTTGTTTTGTGGCACTAAGTGAGAAGAAAGCGAAAGGGATACCCCACTCGCTGGAGAGCTGTCCCTCCCCTACAACAAGGATAAGGAGGCGAGACCCCAGCCAGGACCAGAACCTGTGGCAGAAACTCAGCAAGGGGCAGAAATAGAGGAGCTGACCAAAGAGAGAGAGAGAGAGAGAGAGAGAGAGCAACGGTGAGAGAGGTTCAGGAGAAAAAGGAAGGAAAGGGAGAGGAAAAAGGGGGTAGAGTTTGAGGCAGGAACAGGGGAGGTAAAAAGGAGAGAGAGTCAGTTACCGCCTGGTTGGGAGTGGGTGTGGATGGAGGATCCCTGGACGTGATTATGGGAGAGACTGAGAGTGCCTAAGGAGGAGGCGGATTACAGAAGGAGAAGAGAGATCCCGCCCCCAGACCCTCTTATTGGGGAGAAGCCGAGGCTAGAGAGTGGAGGATTGAGAGAAGTGAAAGAAAGAGTGGAGAGAGAAAGGAGAGAAAGGCTGGAATGAAGAATAAGAGAGATGAGGAAGAAAAGTTACAGGGAAGACCCTGAGAGGATCGGGACCCCGAGAGATGAGCCCTGTGGAATGGCGATTGGGATGACGAGACCGTGGGATAATAGTTATGGTAACTCGTTCCTGTTTGACGATTGGAAGCCCCTTCCGGACTCGCAAAATTATGTAAATAAGGCTGACTGCAAAATAGCACTTGAACACAAGTAAAATGAAATGAAAATGGCTATTGTTCTATTGCATCTCAGCATTTCTGCTCCTGTTTCCCTGTTCAGTACAATTCAGATAAAGCTATTGTGGACAGCGGCACGACTCTCCTGCGCCTGCCAGAAAAAGTATTCCAGGCTGTTGTGGAAGCAATTATCCAGACATCCTTGGTAAGTTGGGGTTCATGAAATTTGCCTTCTGAGGTAGTTTCTTTAAAAGAGCCATTTTTAATAGCTTAGGACAAAAGCTATTCAGTTCATAATTAAGAGAAGGCAACTGAAGGTTCCAACTCTTCCCATTATGGGTGGAAGATTCCTGGCTAACAAATATAAATAAAAGTTTAATTGCCCCTATAATGGCATCATTTTGTTTTGCACCAGAGTATTTAGAAATCATAAGCATACTGCCTTTCTCTAACCATGGAAGACTTCAGGCTGAAATCTAATTGCTTTGTTGGCAACCATTCACAAAATAAGTGCTTCTTTTTGGCTTGCAGTTCTGGTTATTGTTCACTGGCAGTAATAGGTATAGTGTCTTTTTACAGTGCTCTCCTTTGCTTTAATGGATGATTATCTATGAATGGTTCAAGGCCAGAGAGAGAAAGGCTGATTAAAACATGTATGTGTGTGTGTGTTTGCATGGATATTGAAGGTGTTTTTAAGATTGAAAATAGTGAGATGCCCAAAATATGGCAGGGTTTTAAGGAGGTCAGAACCCAGACTGGAATTTAGAAAACTTTCTTTTTCTGAACTACAGCACTCAGAATCCCCCTACCTAGATAGCCAATGGACATGCTGCCCAGGGAGTGGTGGGAGCTGAAGTTCTGCAAAAAGAGTTTTCTGAGTTCTGATCTTGTGTCAAAAGAGCAAGAACTCCCCTTGTGAACACCTGATCAACATGACAATACTGTCCCACAAATCATAACTTAACTGGTCAGCCTTCTGCTTTACGGTGGTGCCTCAAATTACAACCATAATCCGTTCCAGAAGATGGACGTAACTCAAAATGGTCGTACGTCAAAGCACCATTTCCTACTGAAATGCATTGGAACGCGATTAATCTGTTCCAGAAGGGGAAAAAATCCCCCACAAATAAAATGAAAATAAAACACTGCAAGCCCCATAGGAACGCGCTGGGGCTGCAAAAAACCAAAACAAAACAGGGAGGAGGCCCCGAAGGCATTGGGGCTTTAAAAAAAATAATAACAAACCACAGAGCAAGCCCCGAAGGCGCTGGTGCTTAAAAAAATAAATAAAATAAACCACGGAGCAAGCCCCGAAGGTGCTGGGGCTTTAAAAAAAATAAAATAAACCATGGAGCAAGCCCCAAAGGCGCTGGGGCTTTAAAAAAACAGCCAAAAATAAACCAGGGAGCAAGCACCGAAGGCCCGGTGGCTTTGAAAAAAAAACACAAACCAAAAATAAACCACGGAGCAAGCCCATCGCAAGGTGCTGGGGCTGCAAAAAAATAAATCACAAAAAAACACACACCAAGAAACCAAACCAAAACAACAACACAGCAAAGAAACATAGCCCCCCCAGCGCAAACCCATCCTGCAAAACCAACCCAGAAAAGGCAGTTTTTAAAAAGCACAAAGCAGCACCTTACCTTACCAGGCAGTCCGAAGGCTCCCTGCAACAAAAACACTCTCGCTCAGAAGCAGAAGCCAGACAGTCCCAAGCCTCCTCCAATCACACACACTCTTAACTGCTGGGGCAAAAGAGTTACAAAGAAGCAGCCTCATCACCACCAACAGTTAGCAATTTGAATTTCCCACCTTTTCCCCCCTGCCTTTTTGGATTCGTAACTGGAAGCTCTGGCCACAACTTGAAGCAAAATTTTGCGGCCAGAGCTGGTTGTAACTTGAAATGGTCATAAGTTGGGATGTTCATAAGTTGAGGCACCACTGTATTTATTTAAAGCTGTTTGCCACCAATACCACTGTTTAAATAGATGTGGTTGGTGATACAGATATCAGGAGGGGTTGTTCTGATGCACTTTGGGAAGATCTAATGCCAAGCATCAGAACTGGTGGATTTTTAAATACAGTGGTGCCTCGCTTAGCGATCACTCCGTTGAGCGATGAATTCGCTTAGCGAGGGGGTCCGGGCCATCGCTGGAGCATTTGCTCAGCGATGGCGCCTATGGGTTTTTTCCGCTGTGCGATGTTCACTAAGTGGTCCGCTTAGCGAACATCGCATAACGAAGCGGGGGAGAACAGCTGATCGGCGGTTCCAAAATGGCCGCCGGAAGGTCCGCGCCACATTTTCGCGCCCTGCCCTCGCTTACCGTGGGTGCGAAAATGGCGGCGCTATGGAGGAACCTCGCTGAACGGTGAGTTTTCAAGCCATAGGAACGCATTGAACAAAGCTCAATGCGTTTCTGTGGCTTTTTCCTTTCCGTACAGCGATGTTTCTGCATAGCGAGGGTTAATCCGGAATGGATTAACCTCGCTATGCGAGGCACCACTGTAACACTTTACTGTGAGTCCCTATGCAAAAGTTTCAGGTTTTATGTTGTGGCAAATTGGTTTTTAGGCTTAGTTCATTCTCTATTTCATTATTTCTGGAGTGGGTGCCCGCCACTCCCCCCCCATTTATGAACACATACGCCCCAATTATCTACTCTACCTGGAAATATGCTGGTTTGTCCTGATGTATTTATCTTTTTATTCTTATTTCTGCCTTTTTGGGTCTGATGTCATCTGGCAGCTTGTGCTCCTTCCCTTCATCTGGTTTCTAGAAGTAAAATCTCAGCGGAGGGAACGGAGTCATCATGTCTGCAATGCCCAAGAATATAAATTCACATTAATGCAAACTACATTAGGGCCATGTGGTGAGTGTACAGCCTATAATTCCACATGTCAGTGAGATTCCTTCTGTTGTTGATTGGAAGATTGCTTATTTCACCCCTTCCTGCCAGGCTGAAGTCATACACACCTCACCAACAATTCTCTTTGAAAACTGTGCAGTTCTGTCTGGCTTAGAGTAAATAAATACAACAGAGGGCAAGTGTCAGTGCCTTTGCAGTGGCTAATTGGGGGAGAAGTAGCTTGGACAGCCATTCAACTTTATTTGACTTCCTTTTATGATTGTTGAGGGGAGAGTATTTGTCCTATGAAATGTAGATAACGTGTTCCGTGTGAATGTGAATCCCAAATAATATGACAGTGGATATGAGTATTGCGTCTTTACCCCAAGAATGTTTGCTTCTAGTATTTGCTGATGAAAAGTTAATAAAAGCTGTGGTTACATCATAAAGGAAACTGTGACCACAGGGAACTCAGCATAAGGAAATGTCTTTGTCCTCTCCTCTGACTTTTATTGCCAATAGCATTCTTAAGAAAGTGTGAATGTAGGGAAGATGTTTGAAGTGCCTGTGGGAAACTAGTACAGGTTTAATTTTGTTTAAAGGTGTTCAGTTGAATTATATATAATCAACACAGACCTTATTTACATCTACTCAAAAGTAAGTCCTATTGTGGGTCAGTGAAGCTTAGGTGAATGTATGACATGAGTGAGTGTATGACTGAAGCCTTGTGAGGGTAATAGTCAGCCTCATTGAATTTCACTGGGCTGACTTTTGAGTAGACATGAATAGGGTTGTGTTGTAAGGAAGTGTGAGCCCTGCCGGCCATACCCAGATCGACAGGGTAGGGCCTTCCTCCATTCCCAGATCCATGGACTTGACACAAGATGTTTCAAACCAGACAAGATTTATTACAACTTGGATGAGGATTTCAACATGCATGTTTTCAGACTAACTGATTGCAGATTTTACCCTTTTCTTTAGTTTATTTTGCTATTGCCTTTTAAAATTAAACTAAATATTCTTTGAAAGGGAACCAGGTACTACTTTTCCAAAAATCTTCCTAATGCTTGTTTGTAGTTGACAAGAAGAGGATATCAATCATTAAATCTCAGACTGACCTATAGGCAAGCCAGTAGTCAAATTAGAATGGGTCTACACATGATACTCATTTTTCCAAATACAGTGGTGCCCCGCTTGACGATGATAATGCATTCCAGCAAAATCACTGTAGAGCGAAATCGTCATCAAGCGAAAGTAAAAAAAAAAAACCATTGAAATGCACTGAAAACTGGTCAATGTGTCCCAATGGGGAAATACCTCATTGTTCAGCGAAGATTGCCCAGGGAGAACCACCGATCAGCTGTTTAAAATCGCTATCTTCTGAAGCAGGGGTCCGGAAAGCAGCCATTTTGAGAAGGGAGGGAAGCCATTTTGCAGAACCGGAAAGCAGCCATTTTGAGAAGGGAGGGAAGCCATTTTGCGGAACCGGAAAGCAGCTATTTTGAGAAGGGAGGGAAGCCTTTTTGCGGAGTGGGAAAAAACAGGCTCCTAATCAACGTAAAGCAGATTTCCCCCATTGGAACAATTGTTTCGCGATTGCAGTAGCGATTGCAAAAATGTCATCATCTAGCAATTTCAACGTCATGCGGGGTAAGCGTCCAGCGGGGCACCACTGTATGTACTAGTGCCACAAGAATGTTTACGGATATACAAATCATCCAGTTTTCATGGCGAGTGCACTTTGAGAGCTCATTCAGTTTATTTTTGTGAACCAGTGGAGTACCTCATTTCCACCCCCTGCAACCTGCGTACACCAACCCCTTGTATCCACAAAATGGACTGCAGCTCCCATTGACCATGATTGACCATGCTTAATCTCTAGCTTGGAGATTCTGGGAGACCACATCCAAACAAGCAATATTTCCAAGTTTTACACTGCTACTAACAAAACATGACATTTTGGCAGCAGTGGATGTAGAGGCCATGTGTGTCCTCACTGGAACAAAGTGTGTGAGAACTGTACGCCTTGTTAAATTAAACTGCCTTTCCAGGAGCACAATTTAGGGTAAAAAGTTAAAACAAGGCATGCTGTCCCAGAGTGTCCTTTTTTTTAATAAGCCAAAATGTTCCTTTGTCCAGGGGCACAATGTAGTTCATGCTTTTCTGGCTTGCAGCCGGAAGCTGCTTTTGAACAGCATAGCTGGTTAGTCCTTCTCTCAGTTGGTCAAACTATCTGCCACCTTTCTTAAAGTAAGACTGTATGTATACAGGGCTAATTTGATGTGTCTCCTGTCTATCACAAAGGCCCAGCCTCTTCTTTGAGCAGGTGTTAGAAAGCAAAAATGAATTTAGTGTTACATAAAGAGCCACATAGATACGAGTGAGAAGGGAGCAAGAGCCTGCCTAAAGCAGTGAGCAGACAGAGGTAAGGAAGAGTAGATCTGAAAGCTGTTCACAAGTCTTATGAAGAGTTTCAAACATTGAGGGTGAAATTTCCCCATCCTAGTATACACCATAAAGGGTGTTCTTAATCTGAAAATGTGAAGTATGCCAACCCTTACTAGGTATGTAATCAAATACCAAAGACTCTTAGAGACAATGAGTATTTAGTATGTTTTACTTTTGTAATTGTATTTCATCCAGTATTTCATTTTTATTCCATATGTCTGACAAAGTGGATTTATCCATGAAAACTCACATTAAAATATTATTGTTAGTGTTTAAGAAGCCACATGTTTTTGTCTTTTTTATTTTGTTTCTTTGGATTTTGCTAGTAGTTATTTTACCGTGGAACTGATTAGTTTAATATCTTGAAGAATTAGCATACCATTGGTCATGAGACATGCTGGTTACAAACATCATACTTCTTAAGAACATTATATTGCAACTGATCTGATTTGTTAAGCTGTTATAGTGGTTTGGGCAGGGACAAATTAATTGGTGGCAATATTAGAATAGTACATGTATTTTATTTGGGGCTATTTATTTTCTTCCTTTCTATATAGATCCAAGAATTCTCATCTGGATTCTGGAGAGGTACACAGCTTGCTTGCTGGGATAAAACTGAAAAACCCTGGACCTTCTTTCCTGAGATCTCTATCTATTTGAGAGATGAAAATTCAAGCAGATCATTCAGTATCACTATCTTTCCACAGGTATGAAAAACTCTTCTCTTTTATACTGTACTGATCAAACAGAGGAGTAGTAGTCCTAGGCGCTGATTGGAAGCGTTTAAAGAGTAGTCCATTGTTGGTGTCAAAAGATTTTGCATGGATTAAATTTTTGAAAACAGGATTTGCATTAAGATTGTTGATAACTGTTTTAACTAAACCACAGTCACCATGCAGAGTCTGCAAGAAAGAGGGCAGGGTTTGGAAAAGTCCTTTTTGGACTATGCTTCTAAGAATCACCCAGCCAGCATGGTCATGGATGTGTTTGCTGAAGGATTCTGGGAGATACAGTCCAAAACAGTTACTTTTTCAAGCCCCAGAAAGGGATTCACAATGATAGCCATCTTTATCCCGCTTCTGATAAGGCAGATTTCCCAGTAATGTGGAGCAGTGTAAACACAAGTCAACCAAACATACTGACACTGTGTCTACAGTGGACCCTTGACTTACAGACGGCTTGACTTACAGACTTTTTGAGTTACAGACTTCTCTGGCCGCAAAATTTAGGTTTGCCTTGCAGCCTGAGAATTGGCTTACAGACCAGAAAAAAACCAAAATGGAACAAAAACGGCCTGTTACGGGATTAATCGGTTTTCAATGCACTATAGGTCAATGGAGACTTGACCTACAGACTTTTTGACTTGAGAACCGCCTTCCAATAAGGATTAAGTTCTCAAGTCAAGACCACACTGTACATAATTCTTTGTCAACTATGGAAGGATCACAAGTGTGGCTGGAAAACAGCACTTTCATGTTCTGCTTGATCCATGCTCAAAACAGAATTCTAGAATAAGGTACATAGGGGCATATCACATTTCCATCTTCCACTGTTTGGTTTTAAAAGAGAATGCATGAAGAGGGCAGGAGTTTCACAATTTGTGCATGTCTACAAATTCCATGCCAACATTGAGTGGAATGTCCATGGTTCCCCTCCCTTTTGCTACTGTGTCATGCAAACAGAGCAGACTAGAAGACTGATGAAGCATATAGGTTGTTCAAATGACTGTACCAGCAGCTAGCCATGCAGGCTCTTTCATAGAGGTATGTATGCTTTTTTGTACAACCAAGAATAGGAAGCTTGGATGAATGAAGAGAAATGTATAGAGCAGTCCTGTATTTCATCATAGTAAAAGGCTGAAATACAAAGAAGTTTGGACCTATTTATGAGTAAATTTGCTTTTCTATTTGCTGAAAATGTGTTTTTAGCAAAAGAAGTGTGCAGTCAAAGGAGATACTTAAATTTTCTGCTTCCATGAGGGGCATTAATGTAGTTAAATTTTAGGAAACATTTATGAGCTTTATAATGTGTGCATAAAGATAATGAAATTGATGGTGGAGAGTCCTCATTCATGTGAATCTGACTTCATGAAGCATGTGTAACTTTGAAATACCTTCCAGTTATAATTCCAACTTAAACTTTTTGATGAGTAGCCAAGTAAAATAGGGGTCTTTTGACTCTATGATGACACTGTTTAGTTTGAAATGTGATGCCATTTGCAAATTGTGATATTTTAGGGATGGTAGGTCACAGTCAAGAATCTGGAGCCGTTTATAATTGAATAAATGAGTATGTCTCTTAAGCAAAATTGTACAGTGGGGTCTTGACTTAAGAATGGCTTGAGTTAAGAACATTTTGACTTAAGAACCGCTCTCATAGGAAAATATTGACTTGACTTAAGTACTTAGATTTAAGAACTGAAAAAAAACACGTGGGAGGCAGGGAAAGTGCAAAATTTGAACTTTCAGTTAACTGTTGGCCAGTGAAAAGGGTGCCTGTCTGCTTCCTCTCTCCTCCCAGCGTTTAGAGAGTGGATTGGGAGACAGTCTTCGGACTGCCTGGTACTGTACTGCCTGGACTGTATTTTCCCTGCCTGCCCTGAACCTTTCCTGACCTAAGAAAAAACAGACACAAAATATCCCCCTCTAGTGGTCGAAGGCGGAATAGCAGCTTCCCATTAGTTTCTATGGACGGAAAAGAGCAGATACGGATCAAATGGTTCTCAGTGCATTCCTATGGGAAATGCAGATTTGACCTGAGAACTTTTTGACTTGAGAACTGCCTTCCAATACGGATTAAGTTCTCAAGTCAAGACCCCACTGTAATTATTTTCCTTGTTCCTATTACTGGGCTGAAGCTAACAGGCATGTTGTGAAGGAGGAGTGTATACAAGTGAGCAGTCCATAGTGATAGAGGCCATAGAAGGAGAAGATGAGAAGAGTGAGGTGGAGCAGGGGACTAAGGAGGTGACAGTTACGAAAGAGGCGGGAGAAGTAGAATCAAAGGAAAAGGCGGGCTAGAGGTTTGCTTAGTAGAAGAGGATAAAAAGAGAGTGGGCAGAGCAAGAGGTGACAGTGTGGGAGGAGGATATAAGTGAAGAAGGGGTACGTTGGTGCAGTTCAGTTGAGGTGGGTTATGAAAGAAAGAGGGCAGAAGCACAGAGAAAAGAAATCGAGAACATAAAGGACTTTTAAGAGACTTCCCGAACTTAAAAGTGGGAGGATTGTTGCCGGAACCCACTCCCAAGGAGACCAGACCGACTCAGTTTCTGACGAAAGAATGAACAGTGATTGTGGCGCCACACGAGCTTGAGTTACAGAGGGAGGCCAAAATAGCCTATAATCGCTTTTATGACAGACCAGACGAGAGAGGGTGGATCAGACACACATGTCGTGGGATGATCTGTGCCCTGAGAAGTACTCCTCCCCTACAAGGAATGGCATGGGGGACATCCCTGTTGAGTCTGTGGGAGTATGGGGAAAGTTTTAGTTCTGTCAGTTGTGGCCTGTTGACGGAGTTAAGAATTTTCGACCCTGTGAACAATGTGCTAGAGGAGATGAGTGACAATAAAAATGATAGTTTGAAGGTTATAAAAAAGTCTCCGTTGTTATTTCCCGCCGAAGTGAGGGGTTGCCTAAAGAAGTCGAAGAACCCAATCACACATGTATAATATAAAGTACCAATGATAAAATACAGAGGACCTCTTTATTTATTCATATCGCAGCACTGCACAATTTAATATTATGGTTGTATATGAAATATAAGTAAAATTAAAATAAATCAAAATGTTAAGATAATTAGACTAAATTATTGTCATTTGTGGTCCTAAAAAGGATCGTTGGGCCATTTTGCTCATCAGCCAATTTGCAATGCAGTGCTTCTGGAAGTGAAGGATTGGCCGGTTAGACGGTGTTGCCCAGGGGACGCCCAAGTTTACTCACAATGTTTTTCTGCTCTTCATGGGGCTCCTTCTCTGAACTGAAATTCATGGATTAGATGACAGTTTTATATGAAGTCTGGAATAAAGGATTTGAACAAAAATAGCTGGGGAGGGGAGAATGATGCCAATTTCGGTATTTAAAAAAATGGAGATTTGAGCACTATATGTAGTGACAATTCACACCTCAAATTTACATATTTTTATGGTCAACTGAATAATTTCATTATAATTCTTAGTGCATTTGACAATACTGCATGTTTAATTGTGCATGTTTCTACTGTTTAATCTTTCTTTTCCTTCTTTCAACTAAACAGCTTTATATTCAGCCAGTTCTAGAGGTTGCCCCAAATCTAGGCTGTTATCGTTTTGGCATCTCCTCTTCCAATAATGCCCTTGTTATTGGTGCAACAGTGATGGAAGGATTCTACGTCATCTTTGACAGAAGTCAGAAGCGAGTGGGCTTTGCATTAAGCACTTGTGCTGGTAAGAAACAAGTTCTGGGAAGGAAACAAGCAACTCATTACAACAGTTCCTTGATAAACTACATGGAGTGGTATTTGCATTCTCAAATTTGCCAAAAACAACAACAAGCCACCTGAATGTGCGTTTGCAGTTTGAGTCTTGTTAAGTGGGCTAGACAGAAGGATTATGACCTCTTAACGGTCATCAGTGAGATCTGTAACTGGACTAGGCTTGAATATAGAGCATCACAGAACTAGTTTTATTCATGCAATGAAGCCTGGGATTAGGCTAGGCTTGAATATAGATTTTTATTCATGCAATGAAGCCTGGGATTAGTGTTTCTTCAGTTGCAACCCCTGTTGCATATAGTAAATGCCTTTATGAGGTAACTATCAAAAACAATGATACAGCATGCAGGGAAGAATTCAGGGCTCAGATTAATTCTTTGGATTCCAGCATGGATATTGTTGTTAGGTCTGTCTTAAAACAAGCAGACACACACACACAACAATACATTAAAAGCATTTAGGTGGATAGGAAGTGAATATTGTATATGGTATGACTGAAATGTTTGGATATTGAGGACCAGGGGAGTTAATAGTCTTAAAGTCATTACAGTGGTGCCTCGCATAACAAGTACACTGCTTAACAACAAATCTGCATAGCGATCTATTTTTTGCAATCACTAATGCGATTGCATTGTGATGTTTTGAATGGGAAAACATCACATTGCGATGATCGGTAAGCATTTTGCGTACCGATCTTCTCATTGTGATGTTTTTAGAACAGCTGATCGGTGGTTCCAAAATGGCCGCCGGGTGCCCAAACTGGCCACCGCAAGCATTTTCACGCAGTTTCCTCGCTTACCGAGGCGGCGAAAATGGCGGCGCTACGGAGGATCTTCGCTGAACGGTGAGTTTTCGCCCCATAGGAACGCATTAAACGAATTTTAGCAGTGTAATATGCTTTTCACGTAGATGTAGCATGATGGAATAGGAAGTAAGCTAAATGGAAAAGCTAGATACATGTGTACTAGGGCTCTATTTCAGTGTGTGCTTCTCCCAAGTGTATACTTTTTCTTCAGATTCAGTTTAAGAGAGAAGTAACTTTTAACACAGATGGTTTTCAAGCCTGTAATAGTTAGCATCTATTTGCATTTTTAGCTTCCTCTTAAAATTGTTTTTCTTTTCTGTGATTTTTTTAAAGAAATTGATGGTTCTCCAGTATCTGAAATCAAAGGCCCTTTCACAACTGCAGATGTGGCAGGCACGTGTGCATCCACAGTGTTCCTCCATGAGTCGCTATTATGGATTGTGTCATACACACTTATGAGTTTTTGTGGACTTGTCCTTCTTGTGCTCATTATCTTACTGCTCCTTCCATCTCGGTGTCGTCATCCATATACTGACAGTGACATTGTAAACGATGAATCCTCCTTAGTACGACATCGATGGAAGTGAAGAACTTGGTCACAGCACAAAGAACCCCTGTGTTCTGCCTGACAGAATTAAGGAGGACCTATTCCAGTCAAAGGTGGAATTCTAGACATGACTCCTTATAAACACTGGCACCACAGAATGGCCTCCAATAATTTTAAGCTTTATTTTCTAACACTGATTTCTTGAACAGAATATGTATATAACCACTGCAAGTGCTACTATGCCATTTCTAATTGACAATCACACTGCCAAGTAATTAATATATATATTTTTAAAATACTAAAACTTTATTCCAAAGCTTGAACAAGTTTGGCTTCTTCACTGTCCGTCAAAGAACAACAACAACAACAAAACACCAGAAATTTACATCATGATTTTGGTAAGTCATTACACAAACAATGGCAAAGCAGAATGATGAACCAAAAGCTTTATTAATCTTTTCTACTGATGTTAGTTACATTTTTTTAAAAAAAATCTTATATTAATGGTTGGCGGAAAGGGAGATTAATCCCTCTATATGGAAAGACAGTGCAAGACAGATTTAAGAGTATTTTTCCCCTTCAGGTGGAGGAGAATATCTGTTACTATCAAAGGATCTTTCTTTGTTAATCTCAGAAAAGATGGAAGTAGGGAACAACATTGAAACCAAAACCTATTGTGAAGCCTTAATATAAAACAAGACTACCTCTGAATTCACAAGGATGCTATTCACAAGTATGATGCAGGTAGAACTGCTCTTGCATTTAAAAAAAGATCAATTTACCTTGAAAACAGTACAAATACTTAGTTCTTTTTGGCTGTGCTTTGGAGTGTTTTTTCCCCTGCTTATTGCGATTTTAAAACATTTGACATTGCCACCCACATTAGTATCCTGTTTTCTGAATTCATGCATAAGAAATCTTTGGATGAGTTCTTGAAACCTTTGTATAAGCATTATGTGAATGGACTTGCTAGAAGACCAAGTGTCTCTCTTTACACTTTTTGGGCATCAAAAGTGACTAGAAACTGAAACAAGAACAAGGGGGATCTCTGTTCAAAAGGGTGGCCCAACTGAAGTGAGGCCATAGCTAGGAAAGTCAAAGTTTTCAAGAGTACAGTGAACAATGGGGGAGCATAAATAACAGGAAATTCAGCATGGCATGAGTAGAGAAGTTTCATGGCATAAATGGCCTGTACCAACTTTCTTCTGTCTCTGCTTTGGCCTATGGAAAGATAACCTGTGCTGAATTCAGTGCATGGAAGCAGTACACCAACGATCAACGTAGGAAAGCTGACCTTTTCCCCTCATGGATGCCCAGAGCCAGAACTTTTATGGGAGTAATACACCCATGTAAAACAAAACTATTTATTGTCAGTCAGAAGCCAAACTATATTCTTTCTGTTGTAAGTAATTTACATTTATAAATTTATTACTATTATGAAGACAGTACAGTTTGTTCAGCTCCCATGAATCTGGTAATCAATCACTTTATTTTTGTTAATGGTTTGTTGGACACAAGGGACGTGGTGGCGCTGCGGGCTAAACCGCAAAAGCCTGTGCTGGTACTGTATATTCTTTCTGTCGTAATTTACATTTATAAATTTATTACTATTATGAAGACAGTACAGTTTGTTCAGCTCCCATGAATCTGGTAATCAATCACCTTGTCTTTGTTAATGGTTTGTTGGATTTTGGGAGTCCAGCCAAATGTGTGGAAAATTTTATTTTTGTTAATGGTTTGTTGGACACAAGGGACGTGGTGGCGCTGCGGGCTAAACCGCAAAAGCCTGTGCTGCAGGGTCAGAAGACCAGCAGTCGTAAGATCGAATCCACGCAACGGAGTGCGCTCCCGTCGCTTGTCCCAGCTCCCGCCAACCTAGCAGTTCGAAAGCATGCAAATGCAAGTAGATAAATAGGGACCACTTTGGTGGGAAAGTAACAGCGTTCATTGTCTAAGTCACACTAGCCATGTGACCATGGAAGATTGTCTTCGGACAAAACACTAGCTCTATGGCTTGGAAACGGGAATGAACACCGCCCCCTAGAGTCGAACACGACTGGATAAAAATTGTCAAGGGGAACCTTTACCTTTACCTTTGTTGGACTTTGGGAGTCCAGCCAAATGTGTGGAAAATAGCAGCTTTTGTCTTATAATCGTTAAACCTTCGAATTGCAAAGCTGGAAGGGACCCTATGGATCATCGAATTCAGGCCTTGTCAAGGAGGCCTAGTGGGGAACTGGGCTCTCAACCTTCCGCTCTGCAGTCAGAGATCTAAGCCACTGAGCTATCTTGTCACAGAAACCATTTCCCCACAGTTTGGTCTTTAGTATTAGTTTGTTATATATATCACACTGTCATAGAATTATTGAGCTGGAAGGGGCATATAAAGCCATTGAGTCCAACCCTCTTAGCAGCTTTTGTCTTATAATCGTTAAACCTTCGAATTGCAGAGCTGGAAGGGACCCTATGGATCATCAAATTCAGGCCTTGTCAAGGAGGCATAGTGGGGAACTGGGCTCTCAACCTTCCGCTCTGCAGTCAGAGATCTAAGCCACTGAGCTATCTTGTCACAGAAACCATTTCCCCACAGTTTGGTCTTTAGTATTAGTTTGTTATATATATCACACTGTCATAGAATTATTGAGCTGGAAGGGGCATATAAAGCCATTGAGTCCAACCCTCTGCTCTGTTTTGTTGCCCTAGGGTTCCAAAGCATATAAACATTATGCACAAATTTGTCACGATCTGAGGATTAGAAGTGTTCAAAGAGGCAAGCAAAGAACAGTTATGCTGTAAAGTTTTCTGTTCCACAATATTTGGAAGTAGCTTTCATCCTCATGCTTTCCACATAAATATTTATCTGAGTGGGAATCTTGCTTTCCATATATTTTCCCATAGCTGATCAAAATACCTTGTTTTATGGGATTTTAGTTTCCGTATCCCGCAAAAAGTCGAAAATCATCTTGAAGAAAACTGTGTATAAGGGCAGTTGTTCAGGAAATTCTTCCTTCTGTCTACCACATAGCTGGCTGTGTAACCAGCGTCCTGACCAGAGGAAGTGGGGGAGTCTGAAGGTCCAGCAGTAGAATAACTTACTCATTTACACTGTATGATCCCTACATTTTTCTCAGTTTATTTCCATTACAAATTTATTAGGAACCATTTCACAGTATTTCATATCACTACTAGTTGATTCAATTTTTCATTCACAACCTCCTGAGTTAGGACAGTGTAAATACAAATACATGAAATATGCTATCAGTAGGCCAGCATCCTATGTACAGTGGTGTCTCACAAGACGAGTGCTTCGTTTTACAATGAAATTGCATAACGACGAAGTTTTTGCGATCACAAAAGCGATCACAAAATGATGTTTCCTATGGGTTTTTTTCGCTTTGCGATGATCGGTTCCCTGCTTCGCCAACCAATTATTGCAAAACGACGATTTTTGCACAGCTGATCGGCAGTTTCAAAATGGCCGCAAGGTAAAAAAAATGGCCCCCCGCTGTTTTCTGGGACGGATTCCTCGCTGCACAGGCAGCGAAAATGGCTGCACTATGGAGGATCTTTGCTGGACGGTGAGTTTCAAGCCCATAGGGACGCATTAATCGGGTTTTAATGCGTTTCTGTGGACTTTTTAAAATCGCTTTACGATGTTTTCGTTCTACAGCGATTTCACTGGAACGAATTAACATTGTAATGCGAGGCACCACTGTATTGCTTGCCTATGCTAGTGTAAGTACAACCTCATAAATCATAGTGGGCAATTGCCCTTAGCTAAGGAATCACCCTTTATGTTCTTGTGCATCAGATAATGTGGCTGACTTGCTACAAGGAATCCAAGGGGCTCCGTTTGTTGCTGTGATTTATGCTGTTAAAACTGCACCAACATAAATAGCAATCAGATTCTGGCTATTAACCAGTAAATGAGAAAGACCAACATGATGTAAGGTTTTTTGTGTTTATTTTATACAACTAATGAAGATAGTGTTGTCTGACATCATTTGTAACAACTTTCTACCGTCCTTGTAAAGAGAGAAAGGTAGTGCAGATATTTAGTAGTTTATTGCCCTGTTGCTCAGGCAACAGCATCTGGCAATAGCAACACTGAAAAGGTTTTTTTTGGGGGGGGGACTTATATACCGCCACATAGCGGTACAAGCACTCTCCAGGCGGTTTACAATTTTAATTATACAGGCTACACATTGCCCCCCCAGCAAGCTGGGTACTCATTTTACTGACCTCGGAAGGATGGAAGGCTGAGTCAACCTTGAGCCGGCTACCTGGGATTTGAACCCCAGGTCGTGAGCACAGTTTTAGCTGCAATACAGCCTTTTAACCACTGCGCCACAAGGCTCTTCATTTCATTTTTAACCCGAAAAACAGTAGGAAGATGCCCTGAGAAAAATCTTGCACCTTTCAACCTTGCCCATTGTCTGTACAGACTTTCATCATAAAAACTACTCAAAGAAATGTATATCTGTACTGGAAAAGGTTCTTATGTAAAACATTTCAGGTAGAAGGTTGATTGATTAGGGGCAGATTGGATTCTTCAATAAAACATATTTAATCCAGAATCACGTTTTCTTCATCTTTGGTAAACTCATTCTACCATAAACTTGACTCTTAACTTTTAGTGATGCATATTTTTGCCTCTCTTTGAAATAAAGGCTCAACCAGTGCAAACATGGAGCGGGTTCAAACTGCATAACAGCACTGCATCTATTTTTAGACAAGGTGCACACTGAATGTCTCTTTGGCTGGATCGTACTGTATCATGTCAAATAAGTCATTGGGTAGCAAAAATATGAAGACTCATTAATTATTTTTGTTTCTTATTCCACTTTCAGCACCGTTGTATCAGAAGACTCTAGAAACTTGTCCCATTTACTGTACCTGTATTTTATATATCTGTTTTGATGTAGTGAAGCATTTTGACAAAATAATTTGAAACAGTTCAGTTCAGCAACAGTTACATCTCAATGATTTTTTAAAAAATCCCTTTAAACATATTTCAGTTGGCTATATAGACAGATAAAATATAGTACATATGAACATTTATTTATTGTAGTGCAAACACAGTAAGTGGAATCCCAGTGCAAAATCATTTCTGTCAGCATTCTTCTGAAATTTAACATAATATTAATGAGTGAAATGTAAAAAGAAAAACCCACCTCTTTTGGGGGGCTTTAAACTCATGGGCAAAAGAAAATCAGTCTCCTCCAAAATCTTATTCTTCTTCTTTTTTTCCTTTACCTTTGCTGAAGAAAGGTAATCATGATAAATTTCAAAAGGACATGTTATGTTAAAATGAAGACAC